GTTATAACATACGCCCTCAACCCGCCCCCCCGCCACCACTGTTTTTGGGCTCTTCAAACACATTTTTGGGCTCATCAAACACTGTTTTTTGGGCTCATCAAACACTGGTTTTGGGGTCATCAAACACTGTTTTTGGGCTCATCAAACACTGGTTTTGGGCTCCTCAAACACTGGTTTTGGGCTCCTCAAACACTGGTTTTTGGCTCATCAAACACTGGTTTATGGCTCATCAAACAGTTTTTTGGGTCATCAAACACTGATTTTAGATCGTCAAAGTGTCGTGGTGATGTTGATGTGAGTTGTTCTTTTTGCTTTGTTAAGGACCTAATCTGTCCCCGTAGTTTTTTTGCAAGAAAAATTCTGAAATTATGCAAACTGAGTCCAAAAACGAGAAATTATGCGATTCTGTTAATTTTAACAAAGAATGATAAAGAAAAATGATCAGAAATTATGCCAAAAATGGTCAAATTTTACTAAATTATGCAGGGTGCATAAAACCACGGGGATGGCCTAATTTAGTGAATTCATGGTTGGAGTTGGATGTGGGTGATATGTATGTAGCACCTTTTGTAACAGAAATGTTTGTGTTGCAGAATTTGGCCGTGACTTACGGGGGAATGATGATAGGCGGCGATTACATCTTCTCTCTGACCAACTTCACCGGAATCAACATCAGGTCAGTGTTGAGAGATTATGAGATAAGTGTTGGTGACGTGTCGGGTAATGTGACATACCAGCAGTTATTTTTTGTAAACTTGTCGAGTCACTGTAGGATCTCTATTCATGAGTTGTGACAGTGGAGATTTCTGCTCTCATTCATAAAGTTTGATTGACACCCCCCCTCCAGGCAGTGCTACTGACTGAAGTGTCTATGAGCCATTCGTAAAGGGGGGACATTAACCATGTTCTAATGCACAGTAGAATTGTAAATGGGCTGATTCATCAATGTCATACTCATAACTGTGCCTGAACTGCAACAGGGAACTGCTGATTTTTCTTTCCTAATCCTTACTATCATCATTTTTTCCTCTACTTCTTTTATATGTTTGTCACACTCTTGTGACCCGCTATTTCCGGGGTGCCTTGATAGTCGAAGCAGACTTTGTGCTGTTGAAGCCAGAGAGGTGAGCAGAGTAAGTCTGATTCCCTGTAAAGACTTTCCTGTTGACACCCACCCCTTCGCGCTTATATGACCTTATGCATATGCGAGCACCGTAAAAGCTCTTCTAAAACAAAACTAAAAGTTTGATAGACCGTGAAATTTTCTGATTCCTTTCAGCGTTGCTGGCAGCGTCATATACTCCTACATAACGTTCAAACAACGACCGACATCCCCGGCACAGACTATAGACGTTCCGTCCCCAAATGTCGGCGACGAAGAAAATAAACCCAGCAGCGCTGTCTCAAACGTGTAGGTGTAGAGATTCTTTGTTGTATTTTTTTGCAATATCTTTGTCAAAGTGAACACTACGCCAATCCTGCCTCTGAATGCTTTTGTTCAGGGCTGCGGGGTTTTTTGTACTAATGTCTATTTACCACTACTCTGCTGTAAGCTGACAAAACGCCTCGTTTCATTTTGGCACCAACTTTTTTATCTGCTAAATCGAAAGCCTTTTGAATAAATTAGAATTCAAATTTCAGAATCGCTCTATTTGTAAATGGTTACACTGACAAACTCTTTTTCTCAAAACTGCTGTGTAGAAAAAAAGGTGTTTTGTCAGGTTATGGCAATACTGAGCTTTCTTCCAGCTGTTATTAGGAGGAAAAACATACACGCAATTGAAGCTGGCTTTAAGGACAAAGATTAAGCTGAAGCTGGTTTTTGGAGAAAAAAATGGAGCTGAAACTGTTTTTGTGGAAAAAATGGAGCTGAAACTGTTTTTTGTGGAAGAAGAAGCTAGCATCCACATTGTACGGTGTAAAGCTCAAGGTTTACTCACGCTGCGACTCCTGAATCTATCGCTGTTGTTGATGTTGTTTAGGGGCCGAGAGCGGTGACTTTGCTCATGGTGAATCTGATGTAATGAATTTGTTGTCTCTTCTACTCTGTCTCAGTCATTGGAACAATCAATAAGTTTTCCCATTCTGCTACAGACTGGTCAGATTCTGTTGGAGCTCTAATGAAACTCTTGTTTTTATCAAAAGGAGAGCTTTGATGTTAGTAAGTTCGATTTGCAAGTATCTGTACATAGGGGAAATCAAATATGTTTTGTAAAAGATGAGGTGTATAGGGCTTACCTATTTTCTGATTTTCCACACTGTAAACTTACATGGACAAGAAGTTTACCTTGATCTGTCGATTTGTTCAGATCTGGGCAGAGAGGTGTCTGTAGACAGGTGTTTATGTTAGTAAATTACTTCCCCTGGTAAAGAAGACATAACTCCTATAGAAAGTCAGCAGGGTGGGGTGGGGAGGGGACAAGTTGATATGTTTTGCAACTTTCTGCGTTGATAGCCAGTTTTCTGTAAATTGTTAATGCATTCTCAGTGTAGTGTGGCTGGGTGTATCTTTACAGCAGACACTCTGATGAAGGTCTGCGGTCTGAACTGCCGTTTTTTGCTTACGATACTTTTGTGCCCGTTGATATTTGTTTACTTTTGGTCGTCACCTTCCCATTTCCTCTTTCAACAGAATTGAAACTTATAACTTTGAGTGGCCTCATGCGCAGGTTAAAAGAAAGCTTTGGTTTGTTTAGCTGAGCCTATGTTGTGTGCTGGACATGATGGTTCTCAGCCAGTTGTAAGTTCAGAAGTTGGCTATGAGCTGACACACTAACAAAAAATGTATTGTGAAAAGGTTGATGCCTGCCAGCTGTTTAGGTGTTCTAATCCCAAAGATTGGAAACAGTTTTTGATTGTAGTTTCTTTGTCATTGCTTGTGCTGGAGAAATAGTTTGTTGAAATTCAAAAATCTTAATGTTGATAAAAAAAAAAAAAGGTTCACAATCACAATGTATACATTTTGTATTAAAGAATTAAAGTTTTTTTTTCTTTCCCCTGAAAAATGTTGTTTCTTTCGGGGCTTAGAACAATGGAAGAGTTTGTGGGTGATGAGGTGTATGTTACATGCTTTGGGCTTCCGTGTACAGCTAACTTTTTCTACTGTATTATATTTTGATACTGTGTGATGGTTGTACTGCTGGGATTTTATGCTGCTTATGGATGGTACAAAGTGCCACAAAGGACTGCACACCTGTTATAATAACCAATAGATCTGTGGATGTTTTGTCCCTTTGTTTATAGGTACTAAAATATTTTTTTCAAAACCACTGACACTGTTTGAGCACAACATCACAGATATACTACTTTACTGATTGTAATAACAACTCGGATATAATACTATATTGTACTGATGACATGTTATTGTAATTATTGTAATAAATAATAATTCTAGTATTTGTCAGAAATGTGTAGAGAGCAATATACGAGGGGCATATATAAAGTTTTTGACCTGACCATGAAGGAATAAAGGTAGAAAGCTGAAATTTGGTACTTAGCTTTGTCTTTCTCTATGTAGTTGCCTCCCAGAGTTATATGTGTTTGCCATCGGTGTATGACCTTGAAAAGACCTTGAGAATAGAGGACCCTCTCTGTGTCAGAAAACCAGCCCTCTACCACTTCTTTGACCTCATCATCACTTTTTTTACTCCAAAATTTCATCGCAGCATAGGATGGGCAATCAGTTCCATATACGGTATGCATCTCCGTAAAAATATCCTGTAGTTGCTTGCCTTGCAAGAACAAATACTTCATTACTGCACGGCGCTCTATTTTCTCCATTTTTATGTTGAAACTGGAAAACAACATACCCCCATTCACTTACAGTGCGCTGGTGGTAATACCAGTAATCCGAAATTCCCAAAAATTTACAAGCAATCTAGAAAGATGATTGTTGGCTTTCACCCCAAATTTTAGCTCTCTACCTTTATTCCTTCATGGTCAGGTAAAAAACTTTTGGTATGTCCCTCGTAAGGTTGAGAGCTCTTGCTTTACAGGGTACCATATGGCATAGGCTGGTGTTTTCTACTTAATCTTATTCAGGTGAACAATGGGCTTATACTATATATTATATCATGCTGTATTATAAGATTATATAGTATATTTACATACCTAGTTATCAAAATGTTTTATTGCTTATAATAGTTGAATGTCTCATATTAATTAATTTATATTTATGTGTATGTTTGTTTTCACGTTATATATTATGTATGTATGTATGTTTTTGAGTACATTTACCATCAACTGTCTTTCTTTCTCTCGCACTCTCTCTTTCTCGTATAAATATATATATATGTAAATAAATATATATTTATGTAAAACTCACTGTAAAAATATATAATATATATATGCAGCCAAACACTTTATCCAAAATGTGGCAAATGTAACTACGTGGGTGTCTCCAAGCTTGGTACAGAAGCTGTTAGTGGCAGAGTTGTAGCTGATAGACTGTACAAAAGCTGTTAGTGGCAGAGTTGTAGCTGATAGACTGTACAGTGTCAGAGGTGTAGCTGATAGACTCTACAGTGTCAGAGGTGTAGCTGATAGACTGTACAGTGTCAGAGGTGTAGCTGATAGACTGTACAGTGTCAGAGATGTAGCTGATAGACTGTATATACAGTGTCAGAGGTGTAGCTGATAGACTGTACAGTGTCAGAGATGTAGCTGACAGACTGTACAGTGTCAGAGGTGTAGCTGATAGACTGTATGTACAGTGTCAGAGGTGTAGCTGATAGATTGTACAGTGTCAGAGATGTAGCTGATAGACTGTATGTACAGTGTCAGAGTTGTAGCTGATAGACTGTACAGTGTCAGTGTCAGAGATGTAGCTGATAGACTGTACAGTGTCAGAGATGTAGCTGATAGACATTCGGCAATCAGAAATTTTAGTAGTAGTAGAGGGTATATATGTGTCGTGTGAGGCATTTGTGGTGAGATCAGGCGCTCGTCAAAATACTGAAATGGAAGAAACCTGTATTTTTCTGCCTGTTTGGCAATTTTACTCGAATTTTTGTTTTTTTGGCTCAGCACCTTTTATATCCATTAAAAAACACTTTTATGTATGGGATTTTACTGAAAAATGCCAATCCAAGGCACAGAAATTGCAGATTTTCGTTTCCATGGACTCTCAAGCTTTGGAAGTCACTAAACTTTGACGGCCATTTTTTTTTCACTAATTTTACCTCTGAAACCAGGCAACCCCCACTTCCTTCAATCGCAAATATCTTGACTTCACTTCAAGATAGATTTGTATTTGTTCCATCTAAAGCAAGACACATGAACAAACTTTAAGATGATACCAATAACTCCACATGCTCAACAATTATTGACAAACGCCTGATTCCACCGCGTCATGACACATAGAGACCATTAGCGTCTGATTCCACCGTGTCGTGACATGTATAGAGACCACTAGCGTCCGATTCCTCCGCATCGTGACACATCTATAAATAGAGACTACTACACCAAAACCTGTCCAACCCGATGTAACGTTGTTCATTGTTATGATTCATCTCATGTTCAAATACTGGGTATCCCTGATTGATAACACGCTGGCTCTAACAGATGTGATGTAGGGAATGAGACTGTGTGTTGCCATGTGTGTTAGGCGGATGCTCTGGTGTGGTTTGCTTCTTCTTTCCTATCAAACATCTACCATCCTATTTTTTGCTTCTTTTCTTTGTGTGTTACTCTCTTCTAAAAACCTCCAGTCTTTGGGTCTTAATAAATGACCTAATTGTGTTGCTAGTGCTGTAAATCTCTTACCAAGGCTCAAACTAACTCAAGTCCCTCCCACCCCTTTCCTTTTTTCCCCTCTCTTCTCTCATAAAGAGTGCGCTTAGTACGTTAGTACCGGTAGTCACATAGTACTGTGAGTGAGCGGGCACGGTTCTCCGCCTGACGGAGGGGAGGGAGCAGACGACAAGCTTCGGGCTAACCTTCACCTTCGTTCACCTTCACCTTCAACTTCGCTTTCTCCCAGACAGGTATTTCTCGGCAGTGTACCGGTACATCATCATACAGTTTTGTGTTTTCTTGTGAGAGAGAGAGAGAGAGAGAGAGAGAGACTATGAAGGAATTGGGAGGAGAGTAAGAGGGGGAAAAAAAGAGACAAGGAGAGCTAGTGCTAGTTGGTGGGACTTTCTTGGGTCTTGCCTCCTGAGGTAATTTGTGGTTTGTAACTTGTAGAGACTGCTTTGTTGGAATGTAGTTGTAGTTGATGTGAGTGGAGTAATTTGTCCAATTGTAAAGACTTGAGTTTGACTATTCTGTCGTTTGAAGGGAAGTCCGTGGTGGTTGAGTCTTGTCATGTATGATGGGAGAGAAGGAGAGGGAGAGAGAGATGGAGAGGAAAAGAGAATGAAACTATGAAGGAATTGGAAGAGAGTGAGAGGGGAAAAAAGAGACAGGGAGAGCTAGTGCTAGTTGGTGGGACTTTCTCTGTACAAATCAAGGCTTTTTTTTCTGCTTTCTCAGGTGATACCAATTTCTGGTAGAACTCAACATATAAAGTATTATTTTTTATTTTTTTTCTTCTAACTTTCTATTTTTATTTTATTTATTATATTGCTTCAGTAGATTGTGGTAATACTTTTCATTTCATAATTTTAAAAAGTGAACATTTTTCTCAGTGATCTCAGTTTGCATATATATGTGTGAGTGGTTGATGGGTGATCTGGTGTGGTTTGCTCCTTCTTTCCTCTCAAACATCTATCAACCTTATCCTCCTTTTCTTGGTGAGTGATTTGCGGGTGCTCTGGTGTGGTTTGCTCCTTCTTTCCTATCAAACATCCATCGTCCTGATCCCCCCTCCTTCTTTTTCGTGTGTGTTACTCTCTTGTAACACCTCTTATCTTCGGCACTTATATGACCTTATTGTGTTGCAAGTGCCATAAAGCTCTTACTAAAACTAATGGAACAACACACAACAGCCTTCCCTACGTCTGCAAGAGCCGGCACGCAGTCGACAACCAATAATGTGCGTGCCTGAGGAAAGGGTCCACATGTGCGACTTTTTACTTTTTTCAATTTATTGCATTTCTGTATAAAATAGCCTTTCCTGGTGCCTCTGTCTTTAAATTTTTCCGATACCTCAAACACGTTTGTGAGTGAGGGGTGTGCACCAACTACTTTTGAGGAAATTGTAAAAAATCAACGCCATTTTGTAATACTACGTAGTGGTATGGCTTTTAAAAACACACTTAGAAGAAGAATATATCATAATATATCATCATATGCGGGAAATATTTTGTGAGGATGGAGAACAATGGTTGATGAGTTGATATATACGGGTCTCAAATTTTCCACAAAAAAAAAATAAAAATTTTACCTCCGGGCGGGGTATTTCCGGAAGTTCCTCTAAATCAGCCGGTGCGACATGTGGCCCCTTTTCCCAGTCACACACACACAATTCTGTACCTCCACAGTTTCGCCACAAGTTTCCTACAAGATTTATTTTGTTGTGGTTGGTTGGCGGGCGTTCTGGTGTGGTTTGCTCCTTCTTTCCTGTCAGACATCTATCAGCCTTTTCCCTCCTCCTTCTTTTCTAAGTTGAATATTACTCTTTAGTAACAGTAGTAACACCTGTTAGTGTTAGCTTCGGCACTTGTGAGACATTATATTTGCGTCGCAAATGCCGTAAAACTCGTATCAAAACTAAAACTATTCATGTGTTGAAAGTATTCTATTGCTCACTCAATGAAAGTATTATATATATATATATATATATATAAGGAGAGGTTGAACTGATTCATGTTTTTTCCATGTCCCTTTAACTCTAATCTGTTCAATGATTTTCACCTATTTACAGTTAGCTATTATTTGCACTTTTTTAGAATCAGCCTTTCAGAAATTTTCATCTATGTATGGAAATCAGCCTTCAGGAAGTGTCTCCGTTTTAGAATTAGCATTGTAGGAAATTTCTATTTGTTAAAATCAGCCAGAGAACATTCTATGCAGAATCAGTTGAACAAAATGGTTTTTATTTTTATCTTTTTAGAATCATGTACAACAAGCATCATCAGTTTATTTTCTTTGCTTATCTCAAAATCAGATGTGATCTTTGAAGTTGTGTACAATAGAGCTATAGCAGTATAGGCCTATTTTGACAATACACGTGTATATATATATATATATTATGTTATGTGTACACATTTACACACAAATGTCCTCTAGGGTTGCATTATATACTCTGACTCTGCAAGCAGTTTGTACAATAACTTACTATTATTTTGACTTTACCCATGTTGTTACAAGTTGTGCCTTTTTTTATCCTGTGGGATTGCTCTTTTGTACGGTATTTAATTCTACATTATTATTTCATTGATATAGATCTATGATGCCGAATGGGTCCACAATGAGGTGTTCAAATTGATTATACTTTGTTGTACTTTTATTGTTAATGCCTTTCACTTTGGTAAAACCATGAGAATGTTACCGCTTTGTAATTACCTGATGCTTGCATGGACGAAGACAATCGGTGTGGTGGCTAGCACCTATATTATATTATGTTATAGTTATTATATGACTATTTAGTGCTTGTGTGCGCTCTCTTGGGCTTGACAGATTGAGTGGACTGAATGAGATGTATTTTTAGTTGAGTAAATTGAATGAGATGTATTTTTAGTTGAATAGACATGACCCTTACTGTAGCATATATTATGTTATATTTAAGAGGATATATTATGATACCATAATTCAATTCTGAAGTGGGAGTAAAGTACGGGGCCCAGCATTCCCAAGTTTGTACTGTCACCGCTTTCATGACAGTTCTAGCTCTCAGATTCTGCCAGTTCTTACGTGGATGCTCATCTTTTCAATAGGGAAAAAAAAGGTTGCATCGTTTCAATTTGCGAGTTTAACGCCTTCTCTTTTTGAATTGAAAGATTTGATTAATTTGTACATTTTCTTCACATCTAGTTCTAGGCCACAGAATGTTGACTATCGTTGGTCGAAAAGTCTTTTCTCAGCTGTCATTTTCTGACTTGGTTTTCTCCTTGGTTAGTTACCAGTCTGAATAGATCTAGAGATTATCACTGTTCTTACTCGGGACACTTTGACTATATTCTGACTGTTAGTAAAGGTACCATCTTTGAATACAAATGTACAGTTTGGCACAGATAACACAAACGTGGAAGACTTGAAATCACAGATAGCGTGTACAATTTGCCATTCCCTGACACTGATATAGAGCTCTCTTAAAATTTATGTTGTTGGTCAATCCGAATTATGTACACATTTGTCCATCTTCGACATGTTTGAAAGAGTTATCCATGTCGACTGTAGGCCTATAGATTACAAATCAGTCTCGGGTAGAGCGAGAATCTAGATCTACATCTGATCTATCTAATTTAGAATTTCTAACTTTTTAAAAAGACAATTGTCTTCTTTTGTCTATTCAGAAGCCGGCTTTTTCACTACTGTTTGTTGAAGATTGTCGCTGCTCAGTTCTTTTCATCAGTCAGTTTTGTTTGTATCTGTGCTGAAGCTACAGCCGGTGCCTGCTTCAAATTCAAAAGTCATAAAAACTTGCATGAAGTACAATTTCTCTCTTTTCCGAGAACAGATGGTGTAGATTTTTTAAGTACAGTCAGAATTGTCCGAGATGGGACACGTACAGTCTATGAGAAAAGTGGTTGTCTTAGACTGCCGAATGTCTTGGACTGTATATTAAAAATGTCTTAAAATTCTAGGGGTATGGGGTGGAGGGGGGGGGGGGGGGGTAGCAGGTTCGAAAGCAGTCATTAATATAAATAACAACTGTAGATCTTTTGAATACATTAATGACATGTTATAATTTATGAAAATGAAACATGGATATATGGAATGCCAGATGAGTCTGCTAAATGTACACCGGTATTGCCCATAAATATACACGTCATTGTTTATACAATGTACATCATTTTATTGTGTCTCACGCCGCGGTGGAATCAGGCGCTCGTCAATTTTTGGGCGTACAGAGTTATTGGTGTCTTCCTAAAGCCTGTTAATTTGCCTCGCTTTTAGTGAAAAAAAAATCCATCTTGAATAGAAGTCGAAATATTTGTGATTGAAGGAGGTGGGTGTCGCCTGAATTCAGAGGTAAAATCAGTGAGAAAATGGCCACCAAAGTTATATGACTTCCATAGTAGTTTGAGAGTCGGAGTCCATGCAAACTGAGAATTTACATTTTTTGTGCCTTTAATCACAGTTTTTCTGTAACATCCTCACAGAAATGTGTTTTTAAATTACATAAGTGTTGAGACAAAAAAAGAAAAAAATTTTTACATTCCCAAACTGGCCAAAAAATGCGGATTTCACAGATTTCATTATTTTGACGAGTGCCTGATTTCATGGTGCATCATAGATAGATTTAATAGGCCTATTGTACTTCCAGCTTTTGTGAACATTCTCTTTGAATTTTGCGTGAACTTCATAGAGAAGTTCCTTAGTGCTGCAACCAGAGTGTTCTTTGTTGTGATTTCTCCAGTGACTGATCTCAATGACAAACTGGACTAAGGACCTGATGAACCATGCCTGGGTGTAGCTACCTTGGTTTTTATACGCGATGGATCTGTGGTGATTTTTAAATTTTTAGTCCAAACACAATGTACTTCGTAATGTCTATTATGTTTTACTACCTGTGTTTGTAAAGTGCTCCGAGTCTGTGTTCTTTATTCAAGGTATAGCACTACATACGCCTAACGGTATATACAGATATCACCTTTAATTATATGACAATGTACTAATACATACTATAATCTTTCCATGCTACGAATGCACACTTGAGTGTACAGTTGATTCTATGCTAGGACTGCACCCTTGTGCATACAGTTGGTCATATCTAGCAGCCTACCTAGTATAGAATAGATGTGCATGAGGCAAGCTTCTTAATATTATCAAAGGCTTGCTCCTTGATATTGTAGTTGTAGATAAAGCAACAGCACAGGAGATGATGGCTGGAAGGGAAATAATACCATGGCACTGGTGCAACATGTAGATGCGAGTGAAGACATCGGACATAATGCACATAGATCTGTATGTGAGTCACAACATGGTGGAATCAGGCGATTGTCAATTTTTGGGCAGATGGAGTCATTGGTATCCTCAGCCTGTCCATCTGCCTTGCTTTCAATTTTTAAAATATCCATTTGTCTTGGATGCACGTCAAGCTATGGGCGATTGAAGGAGGTTAGGGGTCGCCTGGTTTCTTCAGAGGTAAATTTAGCGAGAAAATGGCCGTCAACGTTTAGTTATTTCCTAAGCTTAAGGGGAGGAGCGACCCTTGATTTTGCAGATTTTGGGTCAGGCTATGCACATTTTCTGTTGGCTGATTTTTCAAGATCAACCAGTTTTTTGTCCAAAAATAGCATGGATACATTTGAGAAAGTGTTTATTCTCCACGTAAATTGCCTTTAAAAACATGACGATGGGTTAATATAGTGAATTTTCACAATAATAGTCAGTTTTCGCAAAATGTAATTTTTTTGCCGTTTTTTCCCTACTCCTTCCTTAGTTTTCATCATTTTGAGATGAAACTATCAGGAAACATAGATGGCAAGGCTGCCATCAATGTTACAGAGAGATATTTGCGAAAACAATAACACTTTTCCATTGGCAAGCGATTACGCAACCTAAATTTTAAAAAAGTTTTTTATACTTTGGGAAAATTCTCATATATTTTTTTCTTTTGCACTTATTGAAATAAGCTTGCTGTTAATCTGATAGGGTCTAGTTCAGGTATACTCTCACAACATTTGGTCAAATTTGGTTGGTAAATAAGAAAGCCTTAGGGATTTGAAATTCATTGTTTATTTTCAAGATGGCGGCCGTTTCCATAGCAACCATTGTTGCTGTGCAAAAAAAAAAATGGCGCATCAAGAGATTTTACTATGCCTAACTTATATGTGTACTTAGATTTGATCTTGGGCAACAGACATAGAAAATGGTCCTCAAGGGTAGCTCCTCCCGTTAAAAGTAAGAGTCCATGGAAACTGAAAATGTACATATTTATGCCTTTAATTAACGTTTCTCAGTAAAGTCTACTCAGAAATTTGTTCTTTAATGGGCATGAAAGGTGTTGAGCCTAAAAACAAAAAGTTGATAAAAATTCCCAAACATGCTGAAAAATGCCTGTTTCTTCACTTTCATTATTTTGACGAGCGCCTGATTTCACCACGCTGCCTCACATATCATTTATATTTGGATTCATTTGTGAACAAACGTTTTTAATTGCAATTGATGCCAGAGGCACGTTGGTGCACCCTGAACTCACTCTGGGACTCTGTGTGTGAGGTTGTTGAAATTATTTTTGACTCTTGTTTACAAAACCATTAGGGCATTTGA